TAAAACATGCTACCTGCCATGAAACACACATGCATGTCTGGATTTTACACTTAAATTCCTAAATTACCGACATGGTGTGAGAGTGTCTTAAGACATGATGTTGCAGATTAATTTTGAGACATCTGAACTATCAACTAGCAACATTTACCTGAGGAAGATTCACTCCACTGGCTTCCTGGACTGGTGCATGCTTCATTGCTCAGGAACCCCTTGCAGTCTAAACTGCTTGACAGCAAGAATGAGTCTTTCTCTAGTTGCTGTCATCTGAAAGAGCAACACTGGACTCAGTATGGCTATAGTAGTTTGCACAACTGGAGTTTTCCAACTCCAAACAGTCTATAATAATCAATCTTATTGTTTTGGGTATTATTAGAATAAGACAAACATGGGTATTCCTGCCAATAAAAAATGCATGCTGTTAAGAGTAGGAACCAAAGGCAATGCTTACCTGAATAATGTCGTCATAATCTGGAAGATCACAGCAAATAGAATGGGGGAGAAAGGGGAGGGGACATGAGTATGGCATTGTGATATTGGTCTGTCTGTTTGAATTTACTTAATTTCACCTAATTCTAAAGCATTTATTTAGTTTGTATCTACAAACATTTTTGTTTGTCTCTGTTTTGACTGAATGCCTTCCTTGGCTCCTTGTCCTTTGCTTTGTTTTGTTTATCTGTGCAAATGAAAGAAAGACATATTGATCCCTTAAAACATTAAACGGCTCATGGCGTGATTGCAGAACAAGCTGAGTAACAGAAAAAGAAAAAAAAACACCAGCAACTGAAAGATGCTGCAGAACAACATTAATTCTTTTTTTTTAGAATGCTTGCTCACTTCCTGTCAGTTGTCTCACCTCTAGATTTTGGGGTGGCAGGCAACATCCTGAAGACAGATTAGATTTACTGCTGCCTGCTGCCTGCAGGAAGGTTGTGGGGGAGGAGTTCACGGCCAGTTCAGTTCAGTTCAGTTCAGTTAAGTTCAAAACATTTAACTTCCTGAGGAAGTACGAATGTTGCTGTCCCTTCTTACAGACTGCATCAGAATTTACCTCAAATTTCAAATATTTATTATATTTAGTATACCTTTGATGAAGGTTTGAGAATGTGGGTGGGATGATTTCCATCTGAAATCAATGACCATATCTTTGGTTTTTGTAACATTTAATTTGAGAAAGCCCTATATGCAAAGCTGAAGGGGATCCAGATTATAAGCAGCAATGAAAATGTTTAAATATGAGGCATTCCATGATAGTAGAAGTGATCAATTAATATTAAATCACTTACAGAAGAGGAAAATGCACAAGGATAGTCCGATTAGTTTAAATATGTTCCAGAGAAGCTTCTCCTCGTCTTTGTGTTATCCACTTGGAGACCTATCTAGATCATCAGAAGCGGCACTACAGACTCACAGAACGGCTGGGCAATGATGTATGCCCACTGTAAAACATATTAAACAAAGTTAAATCATATTGACTAAGAATCCTGTTTTTCAAAGTAAAAGTTAAAGCATTTTCCTATATAATTATCACTTAACAGATTCTTACCATTGTAAGTTCATGCATATCATGTTGTTTTCTTATATGAAGTATGCATATTTTGAATAGAAGTAGAAAAGAAGATCACTGCAGGTAACACCAATTATTCGTAAACCAGCTAAATAAATATCCTTCAATTAAAGTGACTGCAGTGTAAACATCTGATCTAATCTCTGCAGATTAGCAGTTAATTCCCTCCTGTATATTATTATCATATTCTAAATGGGATCTGAAGACTACTGGATCAAATGCTAAAATTAAGTTAAGATAGATATCTTTTACAGCGTGTCCGCGCATGCGCCGCAGTCCCCTCAGTCCTGACTGTAGGGAAACATAATGGCAGTTCTTGCACGTGGCCAGGACTGGGTTCTGACCTTCAGATCTGAAGGAACTGACTCGTCTGTCAATTTCATGTTGTTTATATCTTGCACGTGACAATTCTGCAGACCCACTTATTAAAAGTTGAATTGCAGTGTGTGTGTACATTTATAAATCAAACCACACAAGGTTTTTTTTCTCTTTTTTGTTGAACTGTCATTGGTTGACATTTTGGCTCCTCTCCAGCTTCCGTGTTTGTTTTCTTCTCGTTCTTTTCTCACACAAGAAATATTAACACTCCTAAGAATCACCTGCCAAAGCATGACACAGTTATTTGTAAAGTAATACAGCAATGACAAAGGGACGCACATGTAACAGAGTCAAATTTACAACAGTATTATGTAGTATTATAATTACACAAAATTTGTTTTAATAGTGATAACCTGACATGTCTGGCCTCCTGAGCCAATATGTGGAACGTTTGAGACGTTTCTGTATCCCGACGTTCACTTTCTTGGGTCCCCCCTATAAATGTGTGTCACGCTGTTGCCTCTCCCCTTTTCCTGTTGTACTCCTTGGGAGAGGTAAGCGACACTGTGGTCACAGAAAGTTCCATGTTTTAGCCTCTGTTAAACTACATTTATAAGTTTACTTGCTTGCTTAAACTTATTGTGTAGTACGCTAACATATTTCTGTGTCATTTCATTTGTGTAGGAGCTCACGTTGATAATGATTGACCGGAGGATTTTGTTGTTATTTACACCTTTTGTCAGAATAAACGGAGATCGCCTCCAAAGATATCCTGGTCTGGGCCTCTTCATCAAAACACAACGCACACAACGCTAGAAACAAACCGGTTACACACACAACAAAGCCAGTCAACAAATGATTTATTAAGGAAAAAATACTTAAACTAAAATAACAGTAGTATGTGAAATCACTAGGATCAGTGGTGTAAGTGAGTGCGTGAGTGGAGAAGTGTATGAGTGCTGTGTTTTAATAAGATGCAGCAACACAATCGAACCATCAAACCCAAAAACCAGATAGTTGTCTCAGGGAGGAGAGAAAGAGTACTGAGGGTTTTTAAAGGCGCATGGCACACAGGCCTCAGGTGTGTCCAATTTGCTGACGACCCTCTGCCACGCCCACTTAAAGTACCTGCACAGAAAACAAGACAAGCCACACAACCAGGAACAGGAAAACAAGGTGGAGTGGGTTGTCACACAATCATTAAATCATTTTGGACTTGGGAGAAAAGGAACAGAGATGGAAAAAAGAGGGACAAGATAAACAAAGGAGGTGAAAGGAGTGCTAGACATATGCATACAACAGACATTAAGTTTCTATGATTGACACAGACACTCCTCAAGCCAATCACACACAGATTACAGCATCACTGCAGGTTTCAAGGTTTTTATCAAGTGGTTTTAAAGTTTAGCACCCCCCTCAGTCCAGTAAGTGAACTTTGAGTTCGACAAGACAGTGACTGTGCACCATCCTGACCTGTTGCAGTTGAGTTTACAATTTCTTCTTTTAAAATTCTACACTGTACAAATACTCCATTACAAGTTTTGCCTTTAAAATTAGTATTATTAGTACTAGTATTTTCAGTAAAAGTATAGCAATTTTATACTTTTTTTGTTTTGTTTTAAAAGGTAAATGGTAATTCTGATATAATAAATTATATCATTAATGCTGATGCAACAATATGTAAGCAGCACTTTACTGCTGTAGCTGCTGAGGAACTAGTTCAAACTACTTAATAACTATATAAGTTTATTTGACACAATGTCCAAAAGGGTCACAAGATAAAATTGAGTCCTGATGGCTTGCCTGGTGTGCCAGGGCTGAGTTCTTGCTGCACAATTAAATTAATTTATTTTTCAGACTTTTCTCTGATTCTTTTTTTCTTTTCTTTTTTTTGCATGAAAAGTTTTTACCTCTTGGGACCCCAAATAGTTATTTAAATGAAACAATGTGACAAGTTTATAGGGTAAATCACTCTCTAAGAGTTCACAAGCCAAATTATTATTATTATTTAAAAAGCTTATCAAATGTTTTTATGTAAAATGTTAATCTTAGAGACTAAATACAGTGGGGGAAAGAGTATGATCTCTTACTCTAGATTGTAGATATACAAGTATCCTTGTACTCAAAAGGGAGGGAGATCAAGTATAACCCCAGCGCATAAAGATTGCTGTAAATATGAACACCTTAAAGATGTGTTTATGGATGTCTTTTCATCAAAACATAAAAACAGTTTGGGAACTCCTTTCTTTTCAAAAAGTTCAATTATTGATTGAAGCTTCTGATGCAAACATGGACTAAAAGAGGATGAGAGTGGCTGTAACAGAACATGCAAACAGGTAACGGTACTGTTCTCCAGGCAGCTTTTGTTTCTTGTCATCAGAAACATACTGAGACAGTAACTCAGTTTCCTTTTCATGTTTTTCTCATAACTGTTAGTGTTTTTACAATGTATCATGCTATAATGCAAATTACATTTGTTTGTTTTATATGTTTGTTTCATTTTTATGTTTCTGCACATTCACATTTCCTGTTGGATTTAATCCATGTCTTCTTGTTTGCTGTTTTTGTTTTTTTGTGTGTCTATATGTTGACAGAACAAAACCAAACGTAACCAAGTCAATTTAGGAGACTACAACACTTGCTCCCTCTTCTGCTTCTTCTGTGTAACTTCTGTTAGTCTGAGACTTATTGGTTATTCCCTAACCTTAGGGAACTGGACCTCAGTGAACCACCAGGGTTTAGATATTGAGATGGTGACAACTTACACATACCTGGGGTGCTCACCTTAACCATAAACTGGACTGGTCCAGCAACACTGATGTCCAAGAAGGGCCAAAGTCATCTTCATCTGCTGAGGAGACTGAGGTTCTTTGGTGTGTGCAGGACACTGTCATTCTACGACACCGTGGTGGCATCTGCTACCCTCTATGCAGTAGTCTGTTGGGGAGCTGGAAGCACAGAGAGGGACAGAAAAAGAACAAACTGGTTAAGAGGACTAGTTCGGTCCTTCACTGCCCTCTAGACTCCATAGAGGAGGTGGGTGAGAGGAGGATGTTAGCCAAGCTGACATTAATCATGAACAACACCACATTAATACTAGACCTATACTGTATATTCATAGCCCTATGTCTATAGCCTATATTTCCACTAATCTATACTGCTGTATATATTTTAACCCTGTGCAATAATTTATTCTTACACCATGCCACTTCCTCCTGCTGTGACTTCTGCAATGTTCCATATCAATCACATCTGTATATAAAAAAGCTGTATATAGTGTACATACAACTCTCATTTAATTGATCTTATCTTGTCAGTGTATAATCACCTGAATGTAGTAATCATTATGTTTTCATTACCTTAAAATTAGTCTTTTTTATCTACAGACACAACAGGTGGCCTTTTATGGAGTCTGCCTGTCTGTTGAACCACCATGTAAAATATTGTGCAGTTGATACCTCAGCTATCAAACAATTGTATTTAACTTGAGTAATTCATTTTCTGCTGTAATTCTACTCCACTACAATACAAAGGTAAATGTTGCATTCCACTACATTTATTTGGTAACCTTGATTAATAGTTACTTTGCAGATTCAGATTAATAGTACAAAATGTATTCAACAAATACATACATTTGCTACCCAGCAGTCTGTAAATGAAATAAAATAGTTCCACCTTTTTTTTCACCTTTATATTATAAAAAAAACTCTGATGTAATATTAATAGGAAATAATCTGCTCAGAATTCATCCAGATCTCTCCTTTTGCACAAACTTCCTGCAGTTATTGCGTTGACTATTTATGTTAATTGTTATGCATTGGATATAATATGAAATATATATAAAATATGTCACTATAGTTGGGGGTTGTCAGTTTACTCAGTGATACAAAAAGGGGGTCCTTTAAGGAAGGAAAAAGGTTGGAGACTACTGCTCTATAGTTACAAAGGGGCTAATCATGCCTTTTTATTGTTTAGTTTAACATTTAGGGGTCCAAGCAGCAATGCTGCTAGAACCCTAAGGTGGAGGATTCAAATCCTCAGGTGGCAGATGTGGTGATTCTATAGCCTATGTGTTTTCAAGTGCTTCTGTTGAAGGACCATGGGGGAAAAAGGTAACCATATACACTCTGATATTATCTTTTAATTATTATAATAATAATAATTATAAATAACATGAATCAGCATTTTAGCACATGTTGCTTTCTATACCCACACATCATCTGAGTAACATATATTTACATAGTTTTAGTTATATAATCACTGAACTTAGGTTTGCATTTGCTATTCCTTCAGAGGTTTTCCAATATATCCACCTTTTTACATTTATCTTTCAGTCTAACAGAGGTAGGAAAATCAAGGATCAAGATCAAGGTGAGACACATGGAAATAAAATTTCAATAATTCTCAGTAAAAAAGTAATCCTTCATCAGTGCTCAACGACAATGAAGAAACACACGTTTCATCCAACAAGCAGAAACAAAGCCACGGATATTTCAGCAGAGGCTTTTTGTATGGCAGCAAGGTTTGGACGCTTTCAAACAGGCCTGTGTGGGCGGGTAAATCTTGAACTAAATACATCTGCTCTTGTCCTGTCCAATGTGTATATAGATATGCTTTGAATGTTGTAGGGGAAGCCCCATAAAGCCTGTTTTTATTTCACTTTCAATTCAGATCTGCCAGGACCCTTTAAAATTTAATGTACAGTATATGTGCATTCTTTTATTTTGCATAAGCTAAAAATTGGCTCTGGCATATTTTTAAATAAGCTCTGGCATATTTGTATTGTCAAATACACAGCAGCTGCTATTTTGCCATAAGAGAAGGAGCTGTTGGTAAACTGACCTCAGCCCAGCAGCTGTGAATCGCATGGGAGTTACCGCTGCAACGTTGCTGATTTCGCCTGAAGGCTTGACAAAAATAAAAGTGAAACCAAGTACATGCTCTGGAACTCGACCGTTTGCTTCTTTGTTCGGTTAATCCAGTGTTTACTCCATATGTAGATGGATCTTCCTTCAGAGCCCTACCTTCTTATAATATGATATGGAATAATATGATGGCTGCATAATTTAAGGTACGTTTTCTTCTTGGCTCTTATTTGTAAATCTGTATCCTGTTGCCCTGGGTGGTGGATAGAGATGATGCTTCACAACAAAAATAGAATCATGATAGATATTTTTAAAGGCAACGCAGGATGTCATCCATACAATCATGCTTTAAGGTGGTCTATTAGTAAAGGTTCTGTATATTTCTTCCCCTTTTTCTCTATTTTGAAAAGAAGAAATCGGCAAAATTACAAAGTGAAAGTGATTATATAACTAACGGCAATAGCGTGTCATCTGCCTAATTTTTCTTCTTTTTCTCTTTATATCTTGCTCTTTAATATATATATATATCATGTATGTTCATGAATTTATTATGTTATTGTTGAATTACCAGTAGGCTAGTTAGAGACGAGCGAATATTTGCTATAGGCACTAAACGGATTTCGTGATTATGAAAACTCATGAAGATTGTTGACGGTATAACAATACAAATGTAACCATATTGGGCTATTACTGTGTCAGTTTTTTATTTTAAACTACAGGAGTACGTCGCAGACAGCCTAATGTGTAACTGTTTTTGTGTTTTTAAATGGCTGCACCTAGGCCAGTCCTCAACCTGTAGTTTATCAAAATGTATAAGCACTGTACCATTAAGAACCACTAGATGGCGCCAAATGCGACATTATTTTATTAAAGAGGTGTCTTACGTGGCCTACTTTATTTCCAAAAATATCTTTAAGATATTGTATATCCAATGGATTAGTGTGTATCTATCAGAGGTGTATGGTGCTTCTTAAAGTCAAATTCTTAAAGATGAAAGATGGATTTTACTTCTTCCACCACTGATCTAAAACTTATAACTTAAACTATATCAAAGTATTGTAATCTGAAGTATTCAAATCATTCACTCAAGTAAAAGTAGCAACAGTACAATATAATAATACATGGAGTATACAATTAATAGTTCTGAAGACAACATGTCACTTAAGTAAAAGTATGTATTATTAGCTGTCATAACCTGGCCCATTGGCCATGACAAAAAAGTGACATGACACAGCTTTGCAAAAAGTAACAAATATTTATTATAACAAATATCTTAAACACAACTTGAAATATGAGATGTGGTTGTTTGTAGTATCTGTGGTGTTCATGTGGATGAGTGTGAGTGGAAATTGAGGTGTTGGGGAGTAACAAATGAGATAACTTAGCAAACAAAGCAAAAGGTGCTGGCTGGGATGAGAGAATAGAGAGAGAGAGAGAGAGAGACATGCAGGAAGCGGGAGCTTTTATGTCCCGCTCACACTGGGCCCATCTGCTCCAGATCGGAGTGGATATGCGCAATCAGCTCCTCTGGCAGCTCCTAGACAAAACATACATTAATAACAGGGCACCCACATTGAACTACACAGGGCACGTCACATTGCAAAAGGTATAGAAAGTATCAAAATAAAAGTAAAGTGTGATATAGACAAAATGGCACTGGTTAGTGTTAGCCTATTATATATTGCATTATTATTGCTGATGCATTCATCTGAAAATAGCATTTTACTACTTTTTTTAGTTGTTTGAGGTGGAGCTAATTTTAGCTATTTTATACCTTTTTGTGTAGTTTAAATAATAGCAATGTGTCGTATTTTATAAACTAATCATATATTTTATATGTAAAACCTCAATCTGTAAAGTAACACATTCAGATACATGTAGTGCAGTAATAAGTGCAATATTTGCCTCTACATTATAGTGTAAAATTGTAATTGACAACAGTAATCGAAACAATGTACTTAGTTACATTCCACCACTGGTAATTAAGTTGTCCAACTCAGAGCCATCTCACAACTTAACACCAGTGTTGGCTAATAAGTACATGCACTCAATGCACTGTATATAAGTACAGTTTTGAGGTACTTCTACTTTACTTTCCTTTTGAGTGCAAATATTGTACTTTTTACTCCACTACATTTATTTGATAACAGCATAACTTTAGTTACAAGTAAGGTTGCAGAAATATAATAAACTAATAAAGTATTAGGTTAAATAGGATAATATAAGACTTTGTTGATCTCTGGGGGGGAATTCAAAAGCTACCCAGCAGTGTATAAAGTAAATTAAATTAACCTCACCTTTACCAGCTGCAACATTAAAGTGATACACATTAATAATCCATCAATCTTTCTTCCGAAATTGATGAGAAATGTAATTTTTGATACTTGAAAATCAGTATCTGAATCAGGTTTTTTGCCAAGTAAGTTTTCACGTATGAGGAATTTGCCTTGGTGCATTGGTGCATAGTAATCACAAAGTACATTCTGATGCAACTTTTTTTGCAAGAAAAAATTTGAATGAGGATATTTACTTCAAACTGAGTATTTATTTCTACAATGTAGTATTGCTGTTTTACTTCACTATAAGGTCTGAGTACTTCTTCCACTGTTCCTTAACGCTGTATAAGTGTACACACTGTACACACTTATGAGTACTTTTAATATTTAAGCAGACTTGGCACACTATTACTTGTTTAAATGTACTTAAGTCAGATATATGGCATTATTTCTTTTGTGTGCTTTTTGTACTTGACACAGGTGGTACAAACCTGATCCACATCTGATTTCATAAATGAACACCAGATGTCCCCATTGAATAAGATTTAGATTAATCACTCTATCACAAATAACCACTAGATGGCGCCAAAGCCTTTAATATAACCAACATATTCTTGACCCGCTTATTTGGTGCTTGCGCTTTGTTAATCGCCTGTGAAACAGGAAGTATCATGAGTTCAGTTATAATGACTTACTGGGTGTTTGCTATGTTTGTTATGTGCTCGTTTTGAAACTTAACTTGCCTGTTTACACATATTTTTGGAATTTGCATGTGCTTGCCTGTGTGGAGAAGAGTGGACAGTTCATCAGAAAGATGTTGTCGTCTGAAATCACTAACGTTTGTTACAGTTGCCCTGCAGAGCAGTTGAACAAGAGTCCTGCAGTAAAAACAGGAAATGAATCTTCTAAACCAGGGCAGTGATACTTGCTCTACTTTGAACCCAATCAGCCAGGAGGGGCCTTTACATAACAGAATTCCAGGAACCTTTGCTTGCTGCACAAGCATGTATAACAGCGGTACTATACAAGATATCACAAACTTACTTCCCCATACCATTGCCTACGAAAAACTTCACACAAAGTGGCCTCCAAAAGACAGTCAGAGATGACTTAAAGATATTATGTGGCATGAAATCTTCAGAGCTAGACCTGAGTGTGTATGTGTGTCACAAGATATGAATGCTTGAGCCTTAGGTATGCCTTTGTCTTGTTTCTATGGAATCTGTTTTGCTGTTGAATGCCTCTATCATCAGTTATCATCAGTTACTGGACAAGATCTAACAACAGCAAGGTAAATAGATAACAGGCTGCCACAGATTCACACAGACATCTGGGGGAAGAGGGTGAACACTTTATGTTTTGGAGTGTCACCGCAGTTGTTGAGTTTCAAGTCATCACAAACAAGTTAGAAGTTTTTGTCCTTGGGCCTTGATGAGACTTAAGACATTAAAGAGGACCGAATAAGTCATTTTATTTATATACAACAGGCCAGTTCAGTCGTTACTTACCTGTGAAGGTGCACCACCCTTTCTTAGAACAGGAAACCGAAAAACGAATCCTTTTTTTGACTTTTTGAACCCTACACGGTTGAAGTTGTGGTTAATGTCTGTCTGCAGTGTAAATGTATAAATCCTATTTATGTGGTGTAGCACCTTCACTCAGACTTACACCCTGAAAGACTGTGGCACAGGCCATGAGTTCACATCCCAGTGGGGTAACAGTAGGGCTCACTTACTGATTCCTACCTATTCAATAAAAGGTGCCATTCTCCTTGAAGTACAAAGACAAACGCACCTTTTTTGTGTGTGAGAAACTTGACAACTACAAAGAACTCTTACTGTCAAAGACCAGTGCATGAACAAAATGCATATTTCATATGGCTTGTTAATAGTTTTATAGGACAGTATCCCAGTGCTGGGCATGTTGTTATGTGTCCTCTTATCCTAAAAGACAATCACCATAACATGATTAAAAATCCTGCATAAACCATTAGTTCAGAGGACTTCAAATCCTGCCCCTAGAGTAAATGCCTATTTAAGATAGTGTTAAATATTTTCTTAGTATATCATCCTGGTAACTAAACAGATGAACTAATTTGTTATGTGACAACTTACCTAACACTTCCAAACTGTGGTGATGCAGTGAACTCCACCCAACTGGTGCTCTGAGTCTAAAACAAATCTAATTTGCAAGCATGATTTGATTCAAATCTGATATACAGGGAGGAAATAGTCATCTGTCAGCTCCTCTACTCTCCTGTATTTTCATTAAAAAAACAAGCAATACAGTAAAAATTAGCTGACTGAGTTCCCACAAAGAAAAAAAGTAACCCTTACAGGAAAAAAACACAAAGACACTTTCATATGATTTTTTGTAAATGCCAAGGTTGCAGTGGCTTCTTACAAAGCTGCTTCTGTAAAGGCCTGTGCAGCTGTGCCAGGATGACGCGTTTACAGGGAGGGGTGATGGAAGTCAGAGAACCAGAATTGGATTTCCAAACTCAAGGCAGGTTTCTTATAAATGCCTCATCGTCCCCTGTGAGCAGCACCACCTCGTGGTCAGATAATGGAACTGCAAGGCAATGCCTTCTTACAAGTCACGTGATTTAAAAGAAATCGAGCCACCAGATTATAGCAGGCTATACTGTGGCAGAGCCTTGCAGAGAGGCTGTAAGACTCTTGACTCAGCAGTTGATATGTTTTTTTTTTTTTATTGCATCATGTGTTTATGCAGTTTTATTCCTCTTATCTGAGTTTAGAATTATCTCTCAACATTAAAATTGCATCCTGCATGCTTGACCCCTGACACTCACAGGCGGGAGTTTTGGCTTCACGGTCTCCTGAATTCAACATGATGCAATAGTCACATTATATTTGGGAATATTTTTTTAAAGGCACTTGTCCATATTGGGCCTTTTTTTATTAAAACCA